TTGATGTATGTATGGATTGTGATAAGAGTTGTATGAGCCCCCAATAAAATAAAATAAAATAAAAAGATGACCCAACAGAATGCTCAAACTATAGACAATATCATTAATGTCATATGCAAGTAAAATTTTGCTGCAGATCATCCAATGCATACATTGACAGGAAGCTGCCAAAGCCTCACGCTCAATTCAGAAGAGGACATCAAACAAGGGATTCCATTGCTGATGTCAGGTGGATCTTGGCTGAAACCAGAGTATACTAGAAAAATGTTCATTATGTTTTATTGACTATGCCAAGACATTCAACTGTGTGTATCATAAAAATCTATGGATAGCCTTAAGAAGAATGGAAATTCCAGAACACTTCATTGTGCTCATGTGGAAATTGTACATGGATCAAGAGGCAGTTATTCAAACAGTACAGGAAATATGCTGGATGGTTTAAAATCAAGAAAGGTGTGCGTATGTGAGGGTTATATAGTCTTGCCATACTTACGCAATCTGTATGCTGAGCAAATACAGCAGCTGGATTATATGAAGAAGAATGCAACATCAGGATTGGAGGAAGGCTTATTAACAACCTGTGTTATGCAGATGACACAACCTTGCTTGCTGAAAGTGAGGAGAACTTGACGTACTTGCTGATGAAGATCGAAGATTGCAGCCTTCATTATGGATCACAACTCAATGTAAAAGAAGACCCAAATCCTAACAAGTGGACCAATAGGTAACATCATGATAAATGGAGAAAAGAGTGAAGTGGTCAAAGATTGAAGGATTTCACCTTGTTTGTATCTACAACCAATGCTCATGGAAGCAGCCGTCGAGAGATCAAAAGAGCTGCACTGGGTAACGTGCTGCACAAGACCTTTTTAGAGTATTGAAAAGCAAGGATGTAACTTTTTGGACTAAGGTGTGCTTGACCAAGCCATGGCATTTTCAATCACTACATATGCATGTGAAAATTGGACATTAAATAAGGAAGACCAAAGGCGATCCGATGCATTTGAATTGTGGTGCTGGAGAAGAACATTGGAAGTGCCATGGACTGCCAAAAGGACAAATAAATACTGTCTTGGAAGAAGGATGGCCAGAGTGCTCCTGAGAGGCAAGGATGGTGTGGCTTGGTTTTATATATTTTGGACATCTCAGGAGAGACAAGCAGTCCCTGGAAAAGAACTTCCTGCTTGGCAAAGGAGAAGAAGACCCTCAATGAGATGGATTGATACCGTGGCTGCAACAATGGGCTCAAGCAGAGTAACGATTGTAAGGATGGTCCAGGACCGGGCAGTATTTCATTCTGTTGTGCAGAGGGTGACTATGCGTTGGAATTGACTGGATGGCAACCTCACAGTAACACCATACCTTAGTTAACTGGCCCGATATTGATGAGCCTTCAGTTGTTTCCAATTTTTCCCCTACTCTGTTGTAGACAGTGCTGCAATGTGAACATCCTCATCTATATATCCTGTTCTATCCAAATTCCTAGAAATAGAGCTGTTGGAATGATGGTCACGCAAACTTAAAATTTTCAAGTTTTGAGAGATACTGCCTAATTACCCTTCCAAAACGATTGTATCAACCTTAATTCCCACCTACAAACTTTGATCAGGGTTCTGCCATGTGCCCATATCTGTCCCCATTCCAGAGAAAGGTGACTCAGCAGAATGCTCAAATCACAGAGCAATATCATTAACATCACATGTAAGTACATTTTGCTGAAAACCACTCAACAATGGTTGCAGCAACACACAGACAGGGAGCTGCCAGAGGTTCAGGCTGGATTCATACAAGGATGTGGTCCAAGGAATAACATCGCTGGCATCAGATGATGTTGGATGAAAGCAGAGACTATCCGAAAGATGTTTACTTGTGTTTTATGGACTACGCAAAGGTATTCGACTATGTGGATCATGACAAAATATGGATAGCATTGAGAAAAGTGGGAATGCCAGAGAACTTCACTGTGCTCATGAAAAACGGGTATATAGATCAAGAGGGAATATTGCATGGTTTAATATCAGGAAATGTGTGTCGGGGTTATATCCTCTCACCATACCTATTCCAACTGTTTGCTGAACAAATAATTACAGAAGATGGGCTATATGAAGAAGAACATGAATCAGAATCAGAGGATGGAGGAAGGCTTGCTAACAACTTGCAAATATGCAGGTGACACGATTTGGCTTGCTGACAGGGAGGAACCTGCTGGTGAAGACCAAAGACCTAAAGAAGACTAAACTCCTCACAACTGGACCAGCAGGTGACATCATGATAAACGGAGGGAAAAATGCAAATTATCAGACTTCACCTTGGTTAAGTCTGCAATCAATGCTCATGGACGCAGCAGTCAAGAGAGCAAACAATGCATTGCTTTGGGTAAATCTGCTGCACAAGACCTCTTTAGAGTGTTGAAGAGCTAGGGCTAAGGTGCACAAATGCCTAACCCAAGCCATGGTGTTTTGAAGCACCTCATATGCATATGAAAGTTGGACTTCGAATAAGGAAGACCAAAGTAGAATCAATGCATTTGAATTATGGTCCTGGCAAAGAATAGTGAAAGTACTATGGACCATTCACCAGGTGAATAAGCTAATTTGTTTCAAAAGAGGTACAGCCAAAATTTTCCTGAGAAGTGAGAAGGATGAAACGTCATCTTACAGGAAGTTTTGACAAGTCATCAGGCAAGATCGGTCCCTGGAGAAGGACATCAGGCTTGGTAAAGTAGAGGGGCAGTGACCGAGGGATAGAACCTTGATGAGATGGATTGGCATAGTGGCTGCAACAGTGGGCTCAAACGTCACAATTGTGAGGCTGGACCAGGACTAGGCAATGTTTCATTCATTTGTATAGGGTCACTATGAGTCAGAACCATAGTCAGAACCTGACAGCATCTAGCAGCAGCGACACCATTAAATTAGACCACTTGAGTTATGAAGCTGAACTCAAAGGGCAAAACCCTTGGAAATTTTATATAACCTAAACTATATCTCTACAGTGCAATATGCTTTCTAATTTCCTCCCAGATAAACATCACCTTTTCATCACTGAAACAACTCTAAGCAAGAACTAGATGCAGAGAAGAGGGGGCAGGGAAATAGGCCATTAAATGCAGAATTTGTCTTGAGAGGTCCCGTCAAGAGTTGATCTTCTTGTGGGTTCTTGGTATCTCCCATCACACACTCTTCACCTACTGGCACTAGCAAAGTCCCCAGAGAGATCTAGGCACTGCCAAAAGCATGCCCTAGGGGAAATATTTAGATCCATCCATCAACAGTCTTCCCCAAACCAGCCAATGCCATATATAAATTATTAGCTATCCTAATGTAGTTTTTGGCCATCCCGGGAAGTTGGTGAGAAATGCACAAACCAGGTAAACAAAAGCAAAGATAATGCAAGCCAACTAAGTCTGGGGGATAGCTCGCGTCCACTCCTTAGGCTTAAACCAACCCACTGCCACCAAGTTGATTCTGACTCCGTATAAAATCACCTCTTTGTTTCTAAAAGATACAAGTTGACACATTTTGGCCTCATCTGGTAAATGTTAAACTATTTTATATTGACTTACCTACTGTTATTGAGCTTGTTATGACACATAGTGGCCCTGCAGGGCAGAAAAGAACTGCCCCATACGATTCCCAAGGCTGTGAAGCTTTCTTTACAGGAACAGAAAGCTCCATCTTCTTCCCGAGGGGCAGATAGTGGTCTGGAACTTCTGACCCTTTGGTTAGCAGCTCAATGTGTCTGTCACCAAGGATCCTTATGCACGTATACTCACTGCCATTGAGTTGATGCCAAGTCAGAGTGAGCCTATAGGACAGAGTAGAACTGCCCCTGTGAGTTTCTGAGAGTGTAACTCTTTACGGGAGTAGAAAGCCCTGTCTTTCTCGCACAGAGTGGGCTGGTGGGGGCTTTGAGGCTGGTAGCCTAATACGTAATCATTGTGCCCTAGTATAACTTACCATAGTTTCTCTTCCATGGCCCCCTTTCTAACTTCCCCACCAAAATCCATCCTGTCAAATTAGTTCAAGATGCTTCAATATAGATTATCATGAGAAAATCATAAAGTGACAAGTCCCAGTGGTGTGTGTAGTGGTTACAAGTTGGGCTGTGATCTCCGAGGTCTGCAGTTCAAAACCACCAACCGCTCTGCAGGAGAAAGACAGGGCTGTCTACTCCTGTCAACAGTGACAGTCTCGGAAACCCACAGGGGCAGTTCTGCCCTGTGCTATCGGGTCACCGTGACTCTGCAGTGACTCAATGCCAATGAGTCTGACCCTTTCTTATCAAGGAACTGAAAAATAAAAAGTCATCAGAAAT